TTCCAAGGGGCAATTTTGGGCCATGGTCCCTTCTATATCATCTCTCACTGCTGGGAAGAGTTTTATTACATCATCTTTGTAGCTCCATGCAGTTGCAAGCTCCCAGCAGACCCTCCTTAGGCTCCTCTTTGCCAAAATAAACAAGCCCAGCTCCCTCAGCCTGTCCTCTGGACCTGTAACCATCATAGTAGCCCTGCACTGGACCCTCTCCAGTTTCTCAACATCCTTCTTGAACTGGAGGCCCAAAACTTTATTCAAGGTGAGGGCTCACAAGCACTGAGTAGAGGGGGGTAATGACTTTCCTGGATCTGCTGACCACATTCCTCCTAATGTAGCCCATTGCACTGTTTACATTATTCATGATAAGAGAACTTTATTAGTTTATAAACAACTCAGCAGCCACTGTAGCCTCCAGATCCTTTTCAGCAGGCCTGAAATATAGCAAGTTCCTTCCCTGTCTGCACTGGTGCATTGGGGTTTTTTTCTCCTCAGGTGCAGAATTTTGCACTTAATTGAAGTTTCTAAAACAGAAACCTTAAAAAGGATTCTTTTGCCTGGGCTTCCAGTGTCTCATGGTGTTTGTGAATTGAAGTTCTACCAGTCAGCACGGCAGCCACACCTCCCGATCTTGCATCACCTGAAAATGAACTGAAAGTACATTCTGTCTTCTCATATGGGCTGTTGATGAAGATACTGAACAGTATGTTTATAGCAGTCCATTGGTTACTGTGCTCATTTCCAACCACCGGCTGGACATCAAGCCATTGACTCTAGTCTTTGAGCTTGGGGTCTGACGAATTTGCAGCCCACCTGCAATTCTTTCATTCAGTCCATACTTTCTCATATTGTAAATGATAATGCTTTTGGAAATAATGTCAAAAGCCTAACTAAAGTAAAAATATAGTGCATTCACTCCGCTCCCTTCATCTGCATGGCCAGTCATTTCATCATAGTGGGCAACCAGATTGGTCAAGCATGATTTGCTCTTGGTAAATCCTTGTTGACTTTTCTTGATTATTGTCTTGTCCTTTACGTGTTGGAAATTGATTCCAAGAGGACATGCTCCACGATTTTTCCAAGGACTAAGGTGAGGCCAACTATCATTTAGTTTCTTAGATCCTCCTTCTCACTTTTCTTTAATATGGATGTAAAATTAACCTTTCCCCAGTCATCAAGGATGTCCTGTAATAGCAGTGATTTTTTTATGGATGATAGCTAGTGGTGTTGCAGTCACATCATCAGCTCTTTCAGCACCCATGGGCGTATCCCATGTGACCCCATGTATTTGAACACATATTGCTTCTTCAGGTATTCACCAACCTGTTGCCCCGCAACTCTTAGCCATCCCTCTCCTTCCCAAACTGTACACGCAGAGATCTGGGAGCAGACTTTGCCTAAAAAGCGAGAGGTAGAAATTGTATTGAGTGCTGCAGCTTCTTCTGTATCATCTATCATTATCTTATCTCCCTTAGTAGATAATAGATAGATAACAGACCTACATTTTCTTTGAACCTCCTTTTGCTGCTTTCGTACTTGTAAAATTCCTTCTTGTTAGCCTTTAATGTCCCCCATTAATTTTAGCTCCAGCTGGGTTTTGTCCTTCCTAGTTTTGTTCCTGTGCCCAAACAACAAATGTGTGCTTGTCCTTTGTTTCCTGTCATTGTTTCCATATATGTGCTCTCCATTTCCCCCATTTCCATCTCCATCTGTGCTTTTCCCATTTTAGTTCATTAAGAAGCTCCTTACTCAGCCAAGTGGACCTTCTGCATACCTTCTCCGTATGTGCTGCTTCCTCATGTATTTCTGGGTTAGGTCCCTGTTCTATGACAGACAAAGTCCTCCCCACTAGATTAGCAAGTCTGTTCACAAAGATGTTCTTCCCTCTCTTTGCCAGGTAGACCTATTCTCTATGTTGTCTTTCCTCATCAAATTGGGTGCCACAAGCAAAATAGTTGAAGCCCAGCTAGTGCCACCAAATATGTAGCCATATGTGGTCTACTGGATACATCTGCTGCTCTCCAGGCTTTTCCCTTTTGCCATAGGATTAAAGAGACACACCACCAGGATTCCTGTCCCCTTCAGCCTGGATCAGGAACCCTGCAATCATTTTTGAACTGAAATGGTTTCACATCACCACGTCATTGATGTATGCATGAATAAGCAGAAAAAAGAACATTAGGCGACCCCAAACAGTCTTTCGGCAACACCACAAATTGAGGCTCCATGCAAGCAAGAAACCTCCCTAGTTGATGAGTCTGGCTGGAAGAGAGTCACCAGCCACTCACTGTCACTCATCACTTTCTCTTGGTAGCGCCCTGATACGGTGTCCAATCTGGATTCTTCCTCTGAGGGAGCTTGTTCTTCGCCGCTGCTGCCTGGGCCCTGCACCACTGGGCAGCCCTCCTGCTGCCAGAAGTCACAAGCTTCCAGTTTCCACCCTCTTAGGAGTGCATGTCTTCTTCCCACTGCGTCTTGCCTCGGTTGCACCTTCCCTGTCTGTTGCATAAGCTTTTACACCTTGAAAGATCCTGTCAATCACCTGTTTGTCACCCCTGATGCAATAAAACACACTTGCCTCTTGCAGCTCCTCGCCTGCTGCTGTGGCCACTACAACAGAGCAAACCTCCCTCCAGGGAGGTCACCCTCAGGGGTCCATCTGCACAGAGGTTGCCACAGCACTGCCGGTGACAGCCGGGGCGGGGGTTATGTCTTGTAGGAAGTCATCACCATTTGGGTGGTGTTGTCTTACGCAGATAGCACATCTGGGTCTGTTGTGTGTCAAATGCCAAGTTAACTGTCTTGCTTCTTTGCACATCCCGCTGGCAGCGCTTCTTGACGCCCTTCCTGACGGTGCCAGATAAGTCAGGAACTCCAAGTGCATTCACTCAGCCTTGTGCAAGATTTCCCACTTGGCGGGAAACCTTTTGCACTGTCTGTGAGTTCCTGGCCACAGTACCCTCCTTTGTGAGTGCTGGGCCCGCTGAACGTTTCTGCTCCCCATGCTGGATCCTAACAAGCTGAAAGAACGGTGGATGTAGTTTACTCAGCACCAGTTTCACTTGCCAAATGAAGAGGTAGTGTTGTACAGATGAAAAGGTTAGCTTCAGAATCTGCTCAAGTAGATAGAGCTGTCCAAAAGCATTTTAAGATCAATTTACTGCGGTTCTCATCCATGACTAAGAAAAAATAGTCTGGGAAACATGGAAATATTTATTACCAGAAGTTAAATTTTCTTATTCCCTTGTAGGAGATAAACAGGGTTTCAATTACTGGGTAATGATTTTAGAATTTGATTATCTTATTTTATAGTAAAATACTGAAATATGGTCACCTTTCCCTATCTTATAGCTGCCCTTGCGGTGCAGTGGCAAATTAAAATTTATGGTAGATTATTTCTTGCAGTCGCTAGCTGTATGTACTAGGAAAAGGTCTTCTGCAGGGACATTGCTTGAATAGAAACATCAATGCAGATACGCTTGTATGGGCTGTGACAGAACTGCAGACTTTGAATGAGGTTACTCTTTCAGCAACTATAAATTGGCAATATAAAAATCAATCCCTTTGAGGCTTAAGTGGTCAAAGTATGAGCTTGAGTAAAATAAGGTGAGAGTGTGTTAGTATAAGGGAATAGCAAAGAAAAAATGTTTTATGTCTGTAGATTGTAACTGTGAGGAAAAAGTGTGTAGTGTAAAAAGTGATATTGCTAGATCTTGCAAAATGCTACTGCTAAGTTTCTTTTTATTTATCAATTGCTTTTGGATACATGCTATATTAGTGCAAAGTTTCCTGTGCTTGGCTCTGACTCAGTTTCTGATGGAGATTAAGATCACTTGTACCTTTAAATCAATCTCTTTATTCTTGCTGACCAGTTTTGGATTTTTTTCGTTTGACATGTAATTCACATTCTAATGTTCAGCAACCTCCATCAAACAAAAGTGTGATAAAACTGCAAAACTCCTAAGAAAAACAGGAGGCTAGAAAGTTGCTTTGCCTTTATCTTAATATCTTGAATTCAATTGCATACTTAAACAAACAAAAAACTGCTTAATACTGTTTGTGACTAAGCTTTGAAGGAATTTTTCCAAAGGAGTGGTGAATTTTCACTGCAGTATGGTCTTTAAAGTCAAGACTGGATGCATTTGTAAACTTGCAAAGAAAGGAGTTCAAAGAGAAATTCTTAGCTGAGGTAGCTCCCATTGCTTAGACAGGGCGTGTGGCTAGAAAACAATGCTTCTCCTAGGCCTTAAAATCAAGAATCTTTTTTTAAATTAATTTTTTAAATTACACGATGCATATTTATTAAACATAACTTGATAATTTAAAGTAACTGCTTTATAGTATGTGAGTTGAAAATAGTTTTCACCTAAATATTACATAAGATGTTGTGTGGAAGTGCAGTTGGCTGAGCATAGAAGTGCAGGTTTTTTTATACAGATAGAGCACGATGTGATACACAAATAAATATGCCAAAATATGTGGCAGTAATACATCCTTGAGGTATGGCATGAGGTCTCATGAAATATATGCCTTGAAATAAAAGAAGAGGAATTTTTCTGAGGTTTCAAAGGAATTGCTGTGGAAATTACTCTGCCAGAAATGAGAGTTTTTCTCATTTGGTGAGTTTTTTCAGCCATTGCTGTGGTACTGTGTTTGCACAAGCAAAACCAGGTAGCTAATCTGTAAAAAAAATATGAATTGTTAACCTTTCTTGGATCAATGTAGACAGATTTTTATTTGACTCTTCAGAAGGAAAAAAAGTAGTATTAATAAACACTGAAACATTAAAACCAAACCCTATTTCTATGAAATGACAGAAGAATTTAAAATTCTTTTAATAAATAGAGTTGGAAGGTGATTCTCTTTATTTCCAAAATTTTCTCAAGAACAAAGGAATAGGAAAAATTAGAAGATGTCTAAGCATGTCAAGGGTTAGCTTACCACTTTTACTGTGTATTATAAAAAGTTGGTTTTATTTAATGCTAATAATCTCTTAATTGTAGGAGGAGGAATTGGAGGCCCAGATTTCATTCCTACAAGGACAACTGAACGACTTGGAAGCCATGTGCAAATACTGTGCGAAGATGATGAACACACATCTTGGTAAGTGCAGTACCCTGTATTAACCTGTAAATCTTTGTGAAGGCTCTTTTCATGTTTGTATTAGAACTAAAATAATATTTATGTAGTACAGTGCGTATTATTTCATAAGCCATGAAGAAGATTGAATTGATGTACCCAGTTGTTCTATCAGATGCTGCCAACCACTGTATCTTTATACTGTCATACTTTTAAACTTGGGAATGTGATAGCCACTGATGAAGCTAAAAAAAAAAGTAGAGGCATTTTGGCACAGGTGCCCTTCGTCTGATCCTAAGACTTCTTGTATTGTAAGAGACATGCTGGAGCTCACAGCAGGTGAGCTTACACTTCTTAAGCCCGTTGGCAGTTCAACAGTCCCAGAATGATATTTGATGCGTGCAGTGATAGTTGTATAAAATTCATATATACTTTCATTAAATGGAGCATCTTCACAATTTATGCTGATCACCTTCAGTATGTAAAAATGTGTTACTATAGGCTGGCTAGTTTGTAATATTTTGCTCAGACCAGGAGAAATATAGTAAGACAGAAGTCAATACATTGGGAACAGAATCAGCAAAGACTCCAATCTAAAATTCGACTTACATTGCCAAGACAAATCAGAGAAAGTAAACAAAAATCTTCAATCAGTTCAAGTGTAAATATGCTTTGCTATGCTTTGATAAAAGCAGCATTTTTAAACTGCATTGAGCTGAACTCCAAAAGTTAGTATATTTAGTTATGTGAAAAAGCACTGTTAGGAAATCAGGGCACAACTGCAATAATTTTAAGGTTTATTTATAGCCTGCAACATCTGAGCAAAATAAATTAAAGTTGAATATTTCAGTGGGCAGAACTAAGTATATGATGCCTAAGTTTGCCAGGTCAAAAAGATCGGGTGTGAAAGCCATATTATACTTGTATTTTCGTTTTCTTTTATGTGAGCATTTTAGTAGCCACTGTTATGAACCTGGGAAAATCTATAAATACTGTGTTATTTGAAACTTTGGAATCACAGCCTTCAAAAGCCAAGTGTAAACCTCTAACCCCAACAGCTTTAGTCTGATGTATTGCTTCTGTGAGGGTACATGAGCAATGATGAGACTAGCAGCAAGTGCAAGGGATAAATTATTAGCTACTGAAATGATGGGGGAGAGATTACTGTGTCAAGAAGAAAAGCTGAAGTTTCTTTCCCTTAGGAAAGAAGGCTAGGAGTGTTTAGCAGAGATATCAGTTCAAGTACAAGCATCTCCCCAGCAACTGCTCTAGACTAGAGATCAGAATAAAACCAGACAAAGATTCTTGAAGTAGCCTGTTTTTCGGCACTGGATCCATGAAACGAGAGCAAAAGATTTGTGATAATATCCAGGTGTTAAACTCTTACTCGCAAATACATTAGAAACAAAAACATTCGGAGCCA